GGTCAGTGTTCAGGGTCAGTGTTCAGGGTCAGTGTCAGGGTCAGTGTTCAGGGTCAGTGTCAGGGTTAGGGTTAGGGTCAGTGTCAGGGTTAGGGTCAGGGTCAGTGTTCAGTGTCAGGGTTAGGGTCAGGGTTAGGGTCAGGGTTAAGGTCAGGGTCAGGGTTAGGGTCAGTGTTCAGGGTCAGTGTTCAGGGTCAATGTCAGGGTCAGGGTTAGGGTCGGGGTCAGGGTCAGGGTTAGGGTCAGTGTTCAGGGTCGGGGTCGGCTCCCGTGTGTAACCCGAGCCGTACAGAGTGTGTAACCCGAGCAGTACAGAGTGTGTAACCCGAGCAGTACAGAGTGTGTAACCCGAACAGTACAGAGTGTGTAACCCGAGCAGTACAGAGTGTGTAACCCGAGCAGTACAGAGTGTGTAACCCGAGCAGTACAGAGTGTGTAACCCGAGCAGTACAGAGTGTGTAACCCGAGCAGTACAGAGTGTGTAACCCGAGCAGTACAGAGTGTGTAACCCGAGCAGTACAGAGTGTGTAACCCGAGCAGTACAGAGTGTGTAACCCGAGCAGTACAGAGTGTGTAACCCGAGCAGTACAGAGTGTGTAACCCGAGCAGTACAGAGTGTGTAACCCGAGCAGTACAGAGTGTGTAACCCGAGCAGTACAGAGTGTGTAACCCGAGCAGTACAGAGTGTGTAACCCGAGCAGTACAGAGTGTGTAACCCGAGCAGTACAGAGTGTGTAACCCGAGCAGTACAGAGTGTGTAACCCGAGCAGTACAGAGTGTGTAACCCGAGCAGTACAGAGTGTGTAACCCGAGCAGTACAGAGTGTGTAACCCGAGCAGTACAGAGTGTGTAACCCGAGCAGTACAGAGTGTGTAACCCGAGCAGTACAGAGTGTGTAACCCGAGCAGTACAGAGTGTGTAACCCGAGCAGTACAGAGTGTGTAACCCGAGCAGTACAGAGTGTGTAACCCGAGCAGTACAGAGTGTGTAACCCGAGCAGTACAGAGTGTGTAACCCGAGCAGTACAGAGTGTGTAACCCGAGCAGTACAGAGTGTGTAACCCGAGCAGTACAGAGTGTGTAACCCGAGCAGTACAGAGTGTGTAACCCGAGCAGTACAGAGTGTGTAACCCGAGCAGTACAGAGTGTGTAACCCGAGCAGTACAGAGTGTGTAACCCGAGCAGTACAGAGTGTGTAACCCGAGCAGTACAGAGTGTGTAACCCGAGCAGTACAGAGTGTGTAACCCGAGCAGTACAGAGTGTGTAACCCGAGCAGTACAGAGTGTGTAACCCGAGCAGTACAGAGTGTGTAACCCGAGCAGTACAGAGTGTGTAACCCGAGCAGTACAGAGTGTGTAACCCGAGCAGTACAGAGTGTGTAACCCGAGCAGTACAGAGTGTGTAACCCGAGCCGTACAGAGTGTGTAACCCGAGCAGTACAGAGTGTGTAACCCGAGCAGTACAGAGTGTGTAACCCGAGCAGTACAGAGTGTGTAACCCGAGCAGTACAGAGTGTGTAACCCGAGCAGTACAGAGTGTGTAACCCGAGCAGTACAGAGTGTGTAACCCGAGCAGTACAGAGTGTGTAACCCGAGCAGTACAGAGTGTGTAACCCGAGCAGTACAGAGTGTGTAACCCGAGCAGTACAGAGTGTGTAACCCGAGCAGTACAGAGTGTGTAACCCGAGCAGTACAGAGTGTGTAACCCGAGCAGTACAGAGTGTGTACCCCGAGCAGTACAGAGTGTGTAACCCGAGCAGTACAGAGTGTGTAACCCGAGCAGTACAGAGTGTGTAACCCGAGCCGTATAGAATGTGTAACCCGAACAGTACAGAGTGTGTAACCCGAACAGTACAGAGTGTGTAACCCGAGCAGCACAGAATGTGTAACCCGAGCAGCACAGAGTGTGTAACCCGAGCAGTACAGAGTGTGTAACCCGAGCAGTACAGAGTGTGTAACCCGAGCAGTACAGAGTGTGTAACCCGAGCAGCACTCACACACCTCACCTTCTGTCTGTCACGTCTTTATCACTTGGAGGAAACTGGGACATGATCTCATCTGGGAAACCAGGACACAGAATTGTCAGAAAGATAAAGAACATGAAACGGACACGAAAGGAGGAGGGAAGCTCAGCACATAACAGAGACATGATGAGTGATAGAAGATGATGGATACTTGATGAATGATAAAGGACAGAGGGTGATACAGGGGAGAGGGTGATAAAGGACAGAGGGTGATAAAGGACAGAGGGTGATGCCAGTGCTGAGGGTGCTCAGTGGGAACATGCATGGCATAGTATAGGAGAGAAGCATTCATACCGGTGATATTGAACTGAGTAGCATTGAGCTCATTCAGCAAGCGGTCCAGCTCACACAATCCTCCACCAACTGCCGGGGAGACCGATGGTGCGCCATACTTCTTCACCGTGCTACAGACAGGAAACACATCAAATACTGGAGAAGCAGATATTCCGCAGGAGGACACCACGGGGGAGGACACCACGGGGGGAGGACACCACGGGGAGGACACCACGGGGAGGACACCACGGGGAGGACACCACGGGGAGGACACCACGGGGGAGGACACCACGGGGGAGGACACCACGGGGAGGACACCACGGGGAAGGACACCACGGGGGAGGACACCACAGGGAGGACACCACGGGGAAGGACACCACAGGGAGGACACCACAGGGAGGACACCACAGGGAGGACACCACGGGGGAGGACACATTTTGGCTTTCGTACCTGTACAGGTGAGATTTGTCATTTGCGGACGTGTCGGCGTGGGGATATTGGAGTGCGGTCTGTAAGAAGAGGAAGACGGTCAGTATCTCAGACCATCATCAGGCCACTTCTTCAGCCGAGGCGCTGACTACCTTTGGGTCGTATGGTGGTGGAGGAGGGCGCTGCTGCTCACAGCCCTCCACTCGTTCCTGAGCATCGGTCAGTAACACTGGACAGCGAGTGGGAGACGTCACCTGAAGGTCGGCGAGTAATGCATCTGAAAGACGGATGAGAATGACCACAATGATAAGTCAGAGATAAGACTGCGCTGTGCAGAGGCGCTCGTAACATAATCAGATTGGTTGCTGCTTCCCCTAACTACACCGGCCCATATGCAGTATGTTACCTAAATCCTCCATCAGGGGGCGCTCTGTAGAATGATCACCAGGGGGGGCGCTCTGTAGAATGATCACCAGGAGGGGCGCTCTGTAGTATGATCACCAGGAGGGGCGCTCTGTAGTATGATCACCAGGAGGGGCGCTCTGTAGTATGATCACCAGGAGGGGCGCTCTGTTGAATGGAGGAATAGAGACCACGCGGATGGGGCAGCACTGCAAAGAGAAGAGGACACCATTGTCAGGGGGAGGAATTGGGAAGTTAAAGTTAAGAGACAAATCAGAATGAGAAATATGAGTGTTGTCATATAAAGACAGAGGAGGGTGAGAAAAGTGTAGTCATATGGAGGTGGGGAGTTGTAGTGCAGAAGATGAAAATGTAGTACAGAGGATGAGAGTAAAGTAAAGATGATGGGAGTGTAGTAGAGATGATGGGAGTGTAGTACAGAAGATGAGAGTATAGTAGAGATGATGGGAGTGTAGTACAGAGGATGAGAGTATAGTAGAGATGATGGGAGTGTAGTAGAGATGATGAGAATGTAGAACAGAAGATGAGAGTATAGTAGAGATGATGAGAGTGTAGTAGAGATGATGGGAGTGTAGTACAGAAGATGAGAGTGTAGTAGAGATGATGGGAGTGTAGTACAGAAGATGAGAGTGTAGTACAGATGATGAGAGTGTAGTACAGAAGATGAGAGTGTAGTAGAGATGATGAGAGTGTAGTAGAGATGATGAGAGTGTAGTAGAGATGATGGGAGTGTAGTACAGAAGATGAGAGTGTAGTAGAGATGATGGGAGTGTAGTACAGAAGATGAGAGTGTAGTAGAGATGATGGGAGTGTAGTACAGAAGATGAGAGTGTAGTAGAGATGATGGGAGTGTAGTACAGAAGATGAGAGTGTAGTAGAGATGATGAGAGTGTAGTACAGAAGATGAGAGTGTAGTAGAGATGATGGGAGTGTAGTACAGAAGATGAGAGTGTAGTAGAGATGATGGGAGTGTAGTACAGAAGATGAGAGTGTAGTAGAGATGATGGGAGTGTAGTACAGAAGATGAGAGTGTAGTAAAGATGATGAGAATGTAGTACAGAAGATTAGAGTGTAGTAGAGATGATGGGAATGTAGTACAGAAGATGAGAGTGTAGTAGAGATGACGAGAATGTAGTATAGAGGATGAGAGTGTAGTAGACATGATGGGAGTGTAGTACAGAGGTTGAGAGTATAGTAGAGATGATCAGAATGTAGTACAGAAGATGAGAGTATAGTAGAGATGATCAGAATGTAGTACAGAAGATGAGAGTATAGTAGAGATGATCAGAATGTAGTACAGAAGATGAGAGTATAGTAGAGATGATGGGAGTGTAGTACAGAAGATAAGAGTGTAGTAGAGATTATGAGAAAGTAGTACAGAAGATGAGAGTGTAGTAGAGATGATGAGAAAGTAGTACAGAAGATGAGAGTGTAGTAGAGATGATGGGAGTGTAGTACAGAAGATGAGAGTGTAGTAGAGATGATGAGAAAGTAGTACAGAAGATGAGAGTGTAGTAGAGATGATGAGAAAGTAGTACAGAAGATGAGAGTGTAGTAGAGATGATGAGAATGTAGTACAGAAGATGAGAGCGTAGTAGAGATGATGAGAATGTAGTACAGAGGATGAGAGTATAGTAGAGATGATGGGAGTGTAGTACAGAAGATGAGAGTGTAGTAGAGATGATGAGAATGCAGTACAGAAGATGGGAGTGTAGTACAGAAGATGGGAGTGTAGTAGAGATGATGGGAGTGTAGTACAGAAGATGAGAGTGTAGTAGATATGATAAGAATGTAGTATAGAGGATGAGAGTATAGTAGAGATGATGAGAAAGTAGTACAGAAGATGATATTGTAGTAGAGATGATGAGAATGTAGTACAGAAGATGAGAGCGTAGTAGAGATGATGAGAATGTAGTACAGAAGATGAGAGCGTAGTAGAGATGATGAGAATGTAGTACAGAAGATGAGAGCGTAGTAGAGATGATGAGAATGTAGTACAGAAGATGAGAGCGTAGTAGAGATGATGAGAATGTAGTACAGAAGATGAGAGCGTAGTAGAGATGATGAGAATGTAGTACAGAAGATGAGAGCGTAGTAGAGATGATGAGAATGTAGTACAGAAGATGAGAGCGTAGTAGAGATGATGAGAATGTAGTACAGAAGATGAGAGCGTAGTAGAGATGATGAGAATGTAGTACAGAAGATGAGAGCGTAGTAGAGATGATGAGAATGTAGTACAGAAGATGAGAGCGTAGTAGAGATGATGAGAATGTAGTACAGAAGATGAGAGCGTAGTAGAGATGATGAGAATGTAGTACAGAAGATGAGAGCGTAGTAGAGATGATGAGAATGTAGTACAGAAGATGAGAGCGTAGTAGAGATGATGAGAATGTAGTACAGAAGATGAGAGCGTAGTAGAGATGATGAGAATGTAGTACAGAAGATGAGAGCGTAGTAGAGATGATGAGAATGTAGTACAGAAGATGAGAGCGTAGTAGAGATGATGAGAATGTAGTACAGAGGATGGAAGCTGAAGGAAGGAGGACATACGGGCGGAGTGCAGCGGTCGGAGTGAGAGTATAGTAGAGATGGTGGGAGTGTAGTACAGAAGATGAGAGTGTAGTACAGAAGAAGAGAGTGTAGTAGAGATGATGAGATTGTAGTAGAGATGATGAGAATGTAGTACAGAGGATGGAAGCTGAAGGAAGGAGGACATACGGGCGGAGTGCAGCGGTCGGAGTGAGAGTATAGTACAGAAGATGAGATTGTAGTAGAGATGATGGGAGTGTAGTACAGAAGATGAGAGTGTAGTAGAGATGATGGGAGTGTAGTACAGAAGATGGGAGTGTAGTACAGAAGATGAGAGTGTAGTAGAGATGATGGGAGTGTAGTACAGAAGATGAGAGTGTAGTACATAAGATTAGAGTGTAGTAGATATGATGAGAATGTAGTAGAGAGGATGAGAGTATAGTAGAGATGATGAGAAAGTAGTACAGAAGATGATATTGTAGTAGAGATGATGAGAATGTAGTACAGAGGATGAGAGTATAGTAGAGATGATGAGAAAGTAGTACAGAAGATGATATTGTAGTAGAGATGATGAGAATGTAGTACAGAAGATGAGAGTGTAGTAGAGATGATGGGAGTGTAGTAGAGATGACGAGAAAGTAGTACAGAAAATGATGAGAGTATAGTAGAGATGATGAGAATGTAGTACAGAGGATGGAAGCTGAAGGAAGGAGGACATACAGGCGGAGTGCAGTGGTCAGAGTGAGAGTATAGTAAAGATGATGGGAGTGTAGTACAGAAGATGAGAGTGTAGTACAGAAGATGAGAGTGTAGTAGAGATGATGGGAGAGTAGTAGAGATGATGGGAGAGTAGTAGAGATGATGGGAGAGTAGTACAGAGGATGGAAGGAGGACATACGGGCGGAGTGCAGCGGTCGGAGTGAGAGTCTGGCTGGAATGGGGGATTTGGGAGGTTCCGTCTTCGTCGAGTTTTCTCCTTTTATGGGAAACAGAAGTTCTTCTCCTCAGAGATATAAACACCGAGAGAGAGACAGCAAACCACATGCGTCTGATAATGAGACCGCCATCATCCTCCTCCCCTCATCTCCTCACACACAGACTTCCTTCTCTCTGAAATAAAAACTGTCAGTGTCCCCCCCGATGTGTGTATCACTGTGTCTCTGCGCTGTCACTGTGTCTCTGCGCTGTCACTGTGTCTCTGTGCTCTCTCACTGTGTCTCTGCGCTCTATCACTGTGTCTCTGCGCTCTATCACTGTGTCTCTGCGCTGTCACTGTGTCTCTGCGCTCTATCACTGTGTCTCTGCGCTCTGTCACTGTGTCTCTGCGCTCTATCACTGTGTCTCTGCGCTGTCACTGTGTCTCTGCGCTCTATCACTGTGTCTCTGCGCTCTGTCACTGTGTCTCTGCGCTCTATCACTGTGTCTCTGCGCTGTCACTGTGTCTCTGCGCTCTATCACTGTGTCTCTGCGCTCTGTCACTGTGTCTCTGCGCTCTGTCACTGTGTCTCTGCGCTCTATCACTGTGTCTCTGCGCTGTCACTGTGTCTCTGCGCTCTATCACTGTGTCTCTGCGCTCTGTCACTGTGTCTCTGCGCTCTATCACTGTGTCTCTGCGCTCTGTCACTGTGTCTCTGCGCTCTATCACTGTGTCTCTGCGCTCTGTCACTGTGTCTCTGCGCTCTATCACTGTGTCTCTGCGCTCTGTCACTGTGTCTCTGCGCTCTATCACTGTGTCTCTGCGCTCTGTCACTGTGTCTCTGCGCTCTATCACTGTGTCTCTGCGCTGTCACTGTGTCTCTGCGCTCTGTCACTGTGTCTCTGCGCTCTGTCACTGTGTCTCTGCGCTCTATCACTGTGTCTCTGCGCTGTCACTGTGTCTCTGCGCTCTATCACTGTGTCTCTGCGCTCTGTCACTGTGTCTCTGCGCTCTATCACTGTGTCTCTGCGCTGTCACTGTGTCTCTGCGCTCTATCACTGTGTCTCTGCGCTCTGTCACTGTGTCTCTGCGCTCTATCACTGTGTCTCTGCGCTCTATCACTGTGTCTCTGCGCTGTCACTGTGTCTCTGCGCTCTATCACTGTGCCTCTGCGCTGTCACTG